AGATTAGCAGCTGAGGGCGGGAGGCCACAGTCCCCTGAGGCTCGGAAATTTCACAGCAGTTCCGCCTGCGCGCGGGGACTGGACCTAGAGGCTTTCCGTCGACTGTGACCCAGCTGGACCGGAGGTGCGGCACCTTAGCGAATCAGCAGCAGCGAATCTGCGGTGCGCGAATCAATCGCGTGGCGGCTACAGTCTTTCCTGGTCTGGATAGGGAGTGAGTTGAATTCTGAGTCGGTGTCTCCATTGGGTTACCGCAGGCAGACACCCACCCTGCAGTCCCGCGGCAGCCTGGCGCGCCCGCGTGCGCTGTCAGAGGGCTCACCGCTGGGAGCCTCTCCTTTCTCCCGCCGGCCTCTGGCACTTGGGCTCCGGTCTGCATCAGCCCCTCGCATCGCAGGTTGACGCCTCGCCGGACCCCCTCTCGCCCGGGGTGCCCACTTGGATGATAGAAATGTCCTCTGGGCAGCGTGGAGACACCCTCTTTGCCTATAGGGGTGTACGGGAGTCCGACCCTGAAAGAAGTGAACGAATGAGACCATGGAGGAGGGTTTGGGGCCCGCGAAGCGTTTCCGAGAGGGTTGGAGGAAGACCTTATGTCCCATACCCCGAGGGACTGACTAGGCTTCTTGGCCTTCTCACTCGTGCTTTTCTTTTACCCTCAGGTCTGTCCGCAGGATGGACCCTGCGCAGTCTGCGGTCCGACTGACCGTAAGGGAAGCCATTCACACCCTCTCATCTTGCAAGGATATTGGCCTCATTCTGTCCACCCTTGAATTCCTGAAGCGTTATCTTGGAGAAACAAAGAATCCAGCCCTCCCCGAGGAACAGGAGGAATTTGAGACTGTGCACTATTCTGCCTTTCTTAGATGTCTGGTCAGCAAGCTGAGCCCAGTTTGGCTGGAGCTGTCGCCTGATGGCCAGTTGGAGGAGCTCTGGGACAGCTTTTTCCTGAAAGGCCCTGCTGACCAAGCCTTCCTAGTGCTCATGGAGGCTATTGAGAGCACTGCTGGGTGAGCAGGGCTGGCCTGATCAAGGGGTTGTCTGACATGAGAAGCATAGAATGGCCAGAGTGATTGTGAACAACAGGGCCTCTAAATTCTGTGTGGGGGAGAGAACAGAACTTGCCCAGAGCTGAACACCTGAACACTGAGTGGGTGTGTCCACTGCTGCAACTCTTACAAAGGCTTGCACTTTTTCGCAAACTTGTCAGAGGACAGGAGGAGGAGGATTCCCATCACTGCTGCAGGCAGCACTTGGAACCTCTGCTTCCCCTAGCTGATAGGGCCCTGTCCCTTACTCTGTGGCCCCCTTCCCCTGCAGTGAGGCTCCTTGGGTGCTTTTGCCAACTCTAGGAGCCATCTTGTGACATTCCAGGCTTTCAAGAGAAGCTGGGGGTATGAGACATGTGGCTGCCATAGACTCCTCGTTCCAGACAGGTCCCAGATTTGACATCACATTACTTGACAGTCCTTGAAGAACTCTTTCTATGAGAAGTTGGAATTTTAGAGGTTACTGTGGTAAAAGCAAGCACTACATTAAAATTGGTTTGGATAGGCAGGAGTTGGCTGTGTCCAGTGTGATTGAGAGCTGGGGGAGCTGTGCAGGGCTTAGTGTCACTCATATCCCAGCAGTGGAATTCAAAGTATTTTCCTTCATTTTATGAGTTAGGATATAAAGGCTAATGAAGTTATTGGGACTGCCTATCTAATAAGGGGCTGGGGGAATTACTTGTGGCTAAAGAAAGTGCAGAGATAGAGGAGGTGTAAGGATTCTATCCAATACTCCTGCTGTTGTTCAGCCCTAGCTTCTGTCTGATGAAGATGGCGCAGCTGCTGGCAAATTTTCTGAGCCAGAACAGGATGGCAGCTATAATGGAGGAGCAGTGTCGACCACAGAAGAAGCCCGGCTTCCCCTTGTTGCAGCAGACACTGCTCAACAAGGTGGTGGGCTTGCCTGATCACCTAGGCAATCGCCTGCAGCAGGACAACCTGACCCTGTTCTTCCCCCAGAACTATTTTCGTTTGCTTGGTGAGGAGGTGGTTCGGGCACTACAGGTCATTGTGGATGCTCTACGAGGTGAGCAGATACCCCTGCTTCAGTGTACCTCTTTTCAAGCCATCATCCCGTCTCTTCTCTCCCTCTAGAGAAATTTCATGGTCTCTGAGAGCTTTGGAGTTTGGGTGGTGTTAGCACAAACACATCAGGTGACATCTACACTTTCAGACAATAGTAACCCATGTGTTTAAATTTTATCTTGGTTTTGGCTTTTACCCCTGGGAGTTGGGGCTGGCCCTTGGTTCCAGTAGTTCTTGATTGGATATTGGGCAAAATCATCGAGATAGGGCAGACCACTGCCTGCTGATCATTCAGTCTAAGCAGGAGTGTCCTTGATGCTATGGTGCCCTGCACAAAGGGTTCATTGTCATTAACAGAGAGTTACTTACTGTGTTGATTTGGGATTATCTTGTGTGTCTTTAGCAACAGTGTTTTCATTGCCCATATGATTGAAACAGGTGGAGGGACTCAAGGATCTTTGGGTCTGCAATCAGATGCTCATGGCTGACTTGGGGTTCTGTGTGTGGGTGGAATTCTGTGGGAACTGCCTCTTGCTTACAGATTGATATGTCTAGTCCTGTGTGGTGTTTGAGGTGAGCTTTCTCCTGTAGGCATCACAAACATGGCTTCCCTAGCTCTGTCTCTCAAGAGTTGGGGAGAGGGTATCTGGAGCACTTCCATGAAGGAGTGGCCTTCAGGTAAAGGCCAGAAGGATGTTGGGCCAGCCTTTGCCTCTTTGTGAAGTAAAGTCCTCTCTTACACCTGTTCTGAGATCCCTCAGGTCTGAGCCACACCTCGGCTGAGGCCTATAGCCTTGGCTCCCTACCCTTAACCTGCTTTAGTGTTCAGTCCCCACCACAGCACACCACCTTTTGTGTGCCAACTTCCAACATACCAAGGACCCTGTGACCTGTACTTCTTATGCTCTGGAGAAAAATGGTCTCCAGTCCCTCATGGCTTCCACCTAGCCCATGTGCTACCTCTCTTCCCTGGATCTCTAAAGCAATCACCCAAGCTCATTCTAGTCTATTTTGCACCTTGTTGGAGGCTTCATCTGATGCTCTGGGCTAGCCGATGTCTCACGGAGGTTCTGAGTGTGTCTGTGCCATGTGGAATCTTCCCAGTGGTACACTAGATTCTGTCTTTGCAGATTTTGTGTGTGTGTGTATGTGTGTGTGTGTGTGTGTGTGTGTGTGTGTGTGAGAGAGAGAGAGAGAGAGAGAGACAGAGACAGAGAGACAGAGTGAGAGTGTGTCGTGTAGTTTGAATTCATCTTGAACTCACTGTGTACCCTACGCTTGTCTCAAATTGACAATTCTCCTGCCTCAGCTTCCCAAGTGCTGGAATTACAGGCATATGCCACCATGCCTGACTTCATTTTTGCAAATTTTAAGTACCCATTCTTAGGCCACATGTACCCCGGGTCCCTTCAGCACCTACTACCTGGCCCAAAGGCTAGTGCTGACTCAGGCCAGGACCCCTCTTGATGCCTCTGTGTCTTTGGTAACATCAGGCTTGTCCCAATGAGATGTGTGTGTGACTCTTGAAACATCATGGGCTTTTCAAATTAAACAGTCCCATTTAGATTTTTTTTTGTGGGGGGTTACTGGAAATCAAACTTAAGATCTTGTTCTTGCCAGGCAGGTGCTGTGCCATTGAGCTATACCCCTGGCTCCCCCTTGTAGATTTTCACAGGGAAGAGATTGCTTTGTACTTTATAGATCATTTAGAGTCAGCTGGTGTTTTCACATTCATGTTTGGTCCCCAAGCACATTTCCCCAGAAAGGCAAGTGTCCACTTGTACAGTCAGTCTCACCTTCTATTTCAGGTGGCTTGGACTGTTCTGTCTCCTTCGTGTCTCAAGTTCTGGGGAAGATCTGCATCCAGGGGAGACAGAGTGAGTTCTGCCTGCTATAGGAAGAGCGCAGTGCCTTCTACCCTCTTCCCTGATACCTCTACCCCCTGGGAGGTCCTCATGGGGAGGTTAAGAATTTCCACATGTCCCATGAGGGTGGCAGGCAAGCTAATCCCAACCCTTAATGGAATCTCCTTTCTTGGATCTGGCCCTGGATCTGTCAGTGTTGGCACTGGGCCTTGACTGTGCCAGTAGTGACCCCACAGGGGTACAGATGCTGGCAGCTCCTGAGGCTCAGGTCTCTGGTGTCCTCTCAGAAGAAATCCTGGATGTATTGGTGCCCCAGCTGACAGCGCTTACCCAGGGCAGTTGCCTGTGGCAACGGGTTTGCTGGCGTCTGATGGAGCAAATACCTGACCGTGCCATGGAGGCTGTGCTGACAGGACTTGTGGTGGCTGCTCCAGGGTAAGCAACAGGATTAGAGTTGGGAAGCAGATTCTGCCATGGCTGCCTACCATGCTAATTCATTTATGTATCTGCTTAGGGTAGCTCTCATCTATGACTACAAAATTGAGTAGATACAGGGAACTGGCATATTAATCTAAGGCAGGTGCCCTCTAGCCTTTTACAACAAAGTGCTGAGCCTTAGTCTGGGTGAAGCATGTGGCCGTAAACTTGGTTGTTCAGGGTGGGGTTGCCATCCTGTGTTAAGTGCTTAGCTCAGTGTGGGGCTCTGGCTTTCCCTGGGAGGAAGAAGGGCTAAGAATCTGCTCAAGTTATCAAGGGGCTTTCCTGAAAGCCCACAGAAAGCAGGTGGCACAGCCCAGGCCTGTCAGCATTGTGCGCATGGTGTTTTTTTTGGAACCGGGGCTTGAACTCAGGCCCTTACGCTTGCCAGAGAAGTGCTTATACTACTGAGCCATCTCCCCGACCCCTGTGTGCATGTTTTTCCTAGTACTTTTGCCCTCACATCCACACCAACCTTGCAACTCTGTCCCCTTCCAATCTTGCCTTGACAGCCCTGAAGTTCTTTCACGATTGCTGGGAAACCTGGTTTTAAAGAGTAAGAAAGCCCAATTTGTGATGACCCGGAAGCTTCTGTTCTTGCAGTACCAACACACAGTGAGCATGATGGGCAGGCCATGGGCTATTCTTAGTACAAGAAGGCACTCAGGGTTAGCATGCACAAGGTCCTGCACTACCCCCTCAGCTACAAGGAAACAAAAAGCCAGAGTGCAGTTATAGCAGTAGTCAATTGTGTGGGAAATGTCAGTGAAATGATAGGCATGTCCCTGCCATGCTGATGGTACCTGCTATGGCCCGGGCACCAGGTGAGAGCTTCATAGATCCTTCCATCCTCCTGACCACCCAAGAGGATCCCTTCATTGGTTGCATTCTGTGTGTGAGGGGGTAAACATTTCCTCACATTCAGGCTGTGTGCTCCATTCTGCAAAAACCTCATAGACATGATTGCTATGTGCCTGGGGCCTGGGATCTGGCTCTGACTGAAGTGTGGATGGCACTCAGCCTAGGAGAGACAGTAGCAGAAAAATCCCAGACTGCAGAGTGGCCAGGCCCTGCTGCATCATTGCAGCTTGCTTTTTTTAAAAAATTCACCAAATGTTTGATGAACATTCACTGTGTGCCAGGTTCACTGTGTGACCTGTTGTGGGTGCCAAGTGTTCAGCTAAGGACAGAAGAACCATAGTCCCTCCTCATGGAGTTCACATTGCAAGTAGGGAGGCAGATACTACATGCCACCAGTTAATACACAATGTGATATGTCTGATGCTGACATGGCCCAGCAGTCTAGCAGGTGCTGTAAGATTCTACAGAGACATTTTGATGAGACAAAGCTGGAATGGGTGTGGCCAGGAGTGGGTAGAGTCCTCTTGAGTACTGTGGTACCAATTAACTGGGAAGAAGGCCAACTGGCCTGAGGTGGTAATAGCCTCCCCCTGACCCAGGGAGGGGGCACAGAGCTGGAGAGTAGGACTTGGGGAAGTAGGCCAGATTGGGTTGAAGTAGGTGACTGGACATTCCAAGCAAAGGCAACCAGACTGACTTTGTTAGCAGGACTTACTTTGGCCACTGTGTGGAGATCAAAGGTGTTGTGGCCAATTTGGAAATGAAGCTAACTGTCACCTGGCAGTGTGGCATTGAAAATGAGGTAGAAGCCTAGAGCGCCCTCAGGAATTTGAGAGCTTAGCAGGTGGCTGTGCAGGAGAGGGTGGAAGTTGCTTATCTCTGAGCTTAAGTACATTCAGTCCTTGTTGAAAGGGCAGGTGAACAGTGTGACTTCAGGTGAGCCAGAGACACCCCACAGGCTTTTGAAAGAGAACAGTCTTGGTTGTGTAGGACATTCAAGGCCCCTGAACCCCACAGATCACTGTTGAAACATAAGCCAATGGGATAAAGCTGCAAAATAAGAACTGCAGGTACCAGAGGGAGTGTCCAATGGCCATTTTCAGACAAGGCTGTTGAATTAGAAGTGAGTAGTAAAAAAAATAATATAGTACTTACAACATTACCATTACATGGAATGTCAGGTTCCAAGTAAGAACACAACAAAAATGGCAGAACCTAGAACTGAACATAAGCAATTGTACAGGAAAGCATGTGGAATCAGCAGATGTAGGGATGAGAGAAATTTATCATCTCATGTAGTGTTTGAATAATGAAGGAAAATGTAAAGAAAAATAGGAGCTGAGAATTACATCTTGGAACTTTACCAAAAGGAAGAAACCCAGAGAAATAGAAGCTGGTGCCAGGTAGGCTCTGCTGCATTGGAGGTTTGTATGGGATGGGAACTGTGAGAAAGATGTGTAGATTCACAGGTGGCTGAGGAATACAGCCCCATAGTGCAAAGGGTGACCTCCACTATGAGACAGAACCAGGAAATCTGAGAGATGGCATATAACTCAATGGCAGTGGGATTTCAGACTTGACTGAAATGGAAAATTCCCTTAGAAAAGTTATGTGCATGAACTGATGAATGCAAAAGTAGAGCCCCTGAGAACCTTATGCTTCCAGTTTTGTGGGAGAGGAGAGATTCTCAGTGGGTCCCTCTCATTGGGAGGTGAAAGCTTGCTTCTGTACTCCGTGTCCCCTGCCCTTGACCCAGACCTATTCCTCATCCTGGACTTATGGACTCCTGAAAGTCCCTGTTCAGGTGGAATCCATCCAGAGGGCCATTTCTGCCTGATAGACAGGATGCCATCTTTTCTTGCAGACATCCACGCTGCAGAGCCTGCTGGGGTATTTGGCCATGGACAGCCAGCGGCGGCCACTCCTTATACAGGTGAGTGCAGTTTGTCTCTCTCATGCCTGTGCTGTCCACATGGTAGGGACTGGCAGGGTCTTGGATGGGAGGGCCTGGGTACTGCTCAGGATAGTCTAGGCTATGGCAGAGCTTCTGTGTGACCAAGTGGGCTGTGCTGCTTACAGGCACTGAAAGAACTGCTGGAGACGTGGGGCAGCAGCAGTGCTGTCCGACATGCACCCTTGGCACAGCAGCACTACCTCAGTGCAGCCATCCTTGTCTGCTTGGCGCACTTAGGGGAGCCAGAGCTGCGGGACAGCCAGGACGGTGAGTAGGCAGTGTGAGCATACCCCTGTCCCGGCACCCCAAGAAACCCTCAGTGTGCATGTCTGGTACTTCCAGAATTGTTGGGCAGCATGATGGCAGGGGTGAAGTGCCACCTTGATAGCAGTCTTCCCACTGTGCGCCGCCTGGGCATGATTGTGGCAGAGGTCCTCAGTTCCCGGATCCACCGTGAGGGCCCTCCCCTCAGATTCCAGGTGAGTAGGGTTACCTCTTCTGTATCCCCTTTGGGTGGTGAAGCCGAGGGATGCCTTGGCTGTCACTGCAGCCTAAAAAGGCTTCCTGGGGTCCAGATGTGTCCCATTGTTAGCCACATAGGGCCAAGCGGTGAGGGGTGGTAGGTGGGGCCATATGGAGTTAGGGTTAAGCATAATACCTTTTCAGATTTTGTGTACACAGGAATCCAAGGGAAGTAGGGTGAAGGGAGCCCTAACACTATGGATGGTCTTCACGGGCTGTGGGAGCTTGGCTGCCCACTTCGTGTAGGTACCATCTGGCATATCCAGCTCAGATTCCTCACTTGCCTGGCCTCTGTGAGCTGGCAGACATTGTTCTATTTCCTGAGTTCCTCAGAAGTCCTCCTTATTGGTGTCAAACCCCTGGGGAATCCCCATTTCTTCAGGAGCAAGTGGCCTTCTGGCTTCAGCTCAAGGTGACCATGTAGAAGGTGCTTTACAAGAGCAAAAGTGGCTGTGGGGAAGGCTGCTGAATGAGATGTGGATGGATGAAGGGGAGGACCTGGCACTGCTGCATCTGTCAGTGATGAAGTGGTAAAGTGCTAGGTATCACTCCAATAACTGTACTTTTAGTATGAAGATGACAAGCTGAGCCGTGAGCTGCTGGCCTTGGCCACCCCTTGTACTGCAGGCGGCAGCACCTTAGAGGCAGGGTAAGGATCTCCATATTTCCTCCGAGTGTGCCTTGTCATTTTAGATTGTAGTCTCCAGGGCAGAAGTGAGAGAAGATGTGGGTGGAGGTGATAGGAGTGTCTCTGGGAAGTGGTAAGCCTGAGGCTCACCTGGGTAACCCCTGAATGCTCTATTCCTCATTTTCCAGAGGCTCATCACCAGCCCCTGCTGCTACAGAGATCCTTGAGAAAACCGTGGATGGTGAGGTAGAGTCTGCCAACAGCAGCGTTCCCCAAGTTCGGCCACAGGACTCTGACTCAGATCTGGACAGGTAGGGCAGGGCTGCTCTGGTCTCTTCTGAATCCAAATAGTGGTCGAGAGGTGGTCCTATGGCCTGCATGATAGGGGATTCTGGACAAGTCAGCACAATAGGAGGAACCTGCGGGGTGCTACGCTGCCCATGTCCTTACACCCTGCTCCTTGCTCTCTCCAGCAAGTGCTTTTAGCATCACTGCTGCATTGCAGCTTTAGTTTCTCAGTGTTTGTTTCTCCCCTGAAGCTTTGGGGCTATGGGAATGTCAGTTTCTGGTATTATTAGGATGTGCTCTTGAGGATGGACAAGTTGAAGGAGCAGGGAGGCTGAGCTTTCTTCCACTGGGGCGAGTGATTCCAGTGCCTGTCTTGTTTTGTCACAGTGACGATGAGTTCATCCCTTATGACATGTCAGGGGACAAAGAGCTGAGAAGCAGCAAGGCGCCATTGTATGTCCGGGATTGCATAGAAGGTGGGCCTCACTGAGATCGTTTGGCAGATCTCTGAAGGTGCCTGTCTTCATCTTGTCTTGGAGCCACCTGCCAGCCCTGTCCTGATACCCTGGACCTCCCAGCTTCTCCTGCTCAGGGTCAGGGCTGATACCGACTGGGGCCTGTGTGGGTTCTGTGCAGTGTTGACCTCGTCTGAGGATATGGAGCGTTGGGAGGCAGCCCTGCGGGCTCTGGAGGGCCTAGTGTGCAAGAGCCCTGAGGCCACTCAAGAGGTGAGCAGTGCGGGATTGTCAGAATAGGGGAGGGTGGAAAGTTCTATGGTGGCAAGTCCTCTGTGCCATCTTGGGTAATGGAAGTGTAGAGCACCTTACTGGCTGCTGTGTTCCTGGGGAGACCTGTGACCTAGAGTATCTGCTGGTGTGGGCTGGCAGGCAGGCAGCCTGAGCTCTGAGTTGACAGCAGTAGTGGGGCCTCTGGGTTGGGTGGCCAAAGCCTGAAGATTCCCTCACCCTTGACCCCTGAGTACAGGTAAGTGTGGAGCTGGCCAAGGTTCTGCTGCATCTGGAGGAGAGGACCTGTGTGTCAGGATTTGAGGGACTGCGCCAAAGAGCCCTAGTGGCTGTCACAGTCATGGACCCAGCCCGGGTGAGTCCTAGTGCAGGTGGGATTTTGTGCCTTGGTTGGTTGTGTGTTGCCTGGAGGCTGTCTGGGGTCCTGGTCCCTAGTAGCCTCTCCATTGCTGTGCTCAGGTGGCTGAGTATCTGACCTCACAGTTCTACGCCCTGAACTATAGCCTGCGGCAGCGCATGGATATCCTGGATGTAAGTGCCCTGGGCCCCTATATCCCCATCAGATCCAATCTACCTTAACAAATCCTAGAGTGGTGTGGGTCTGTTGGACTCTGCAGTACTCAGGTAAATATACACAAAAACTGTTCTACGGAGGATAATGTGGGTATATATCTTGGTTTGACTCTTTCACACATGTGTACATACTTTGCCTTGTGTCATATCTAGTGGGTAAACACACTCCTGTATCCTTCAGGGAAAGGTACTGAGATGCATAGCTGGCTACTATCACACTAAAGTAAAACTTACAGTAGAAAAGGAATTTGTATGTGGCACCGTCTGTTATGCTTGCAGGGTTAAGGGGGGAGGTCAAGAATCTACATGGGACAGTGACCACAGCCCTCCCCAGGCTTCTTTGTTGTAGAACCAAGAGACTTGGGTACCATGTAAGCAGAGCCTGTGTTTTCCAGTGTAGGGGCTGAGTCTTTAGTTATCGAGTGCTTCATTTAAATAAGTTTTATTAATATATTTTATGCATTATTAAATTCATCATTTAAAGATAAACAAGCTGGATGTGGTGGCACATGTCTGTAATCCCAGTCTGGACTACATAGTTAAAAGCTGTCCTGAACTATATACCAAGACCCTTTCTCAACCCCGCCCCCAAAGGTCTCCCTAATGGCTGAACGTTATCCAGTTACAAAAAAGAATAAAAGTCTGACACATATTACAACATGGATGGACCTCAACATGTTAAAGTCAGTGCCTCAGGACATGTGACATGATGCACACATGTGATCTGTCCAAGGTTATGAGACAGAAGGGTAGTTGCCATCGCCTGGAGGTCAGTGTTTAATGAGGACAGAGTTTCCGCATGAGAAGACAGAAAAGTTCTATAGGTGGATGGTGATAACTACATATGAATGTGCTTAATGTCACTGAGCTATGTGCTGAAGAATGGTTCAAATGGCCAGGCACAGTGGTGTACTCCTGTAATCCCATCCTTGGGAGGCTGAGGCAGGAAGTTTGTCATGGGTTCAAGTCCAGCCTGAACTACATAGGGAGACCCTGTCTCAAAAAAAAAAAGGTAAATTTTGTTTTACTACCTACACCAAGAATGTACCATTTCTAGTAAACAATCCAGAGATGGTCAGCACATTGATAGCATTGTGTACCATTCCTTTGTCTAGTTTTTTTTTTTTCCTTTGTCTTTTGATACAGGGTCCTGTTTCATAGTTCATGTCAGTCTTATAGCCTCGGCTGATCTTGAACTTATTATCTTCTTGCCTCAGCCTTACAAATGTTGAGATTATAAGCATGCACCACCACTTCTGGAGTTCCTCTGCCTAGTTTTACAGTATCGCCATCCTCCCAGCAGCGTCTTACTAGCATCATTCTCTGTGTCCCCAGCCTGTCCCCTACCATCCTGTTTCCTGTCTATGGACTTGCCTGTTCTGGATAGTTCATATAAATGAAGTCTTTGTGGTCCTTTGCTGTCATGTTCTTCCATTGGGCTTCATTTGTTTTTATGTGAGGCTGAGTTCTTGGGAGGGAGGGCCTGGTTCTGGCTGGCAGTACTGGGTGAGCTCTAAGTGTATTCATCTTGAGGGAGCTCCTAATCTACCTGCCCAGTAGATCACAGAGCTTCGAGGACAGTTGGCAGTGCCCTAGGATGCTGGACACTGCTGCTCATCTGGGTTTCTGTTGTCACTTGGCTGATAACTTTTTAGATCATTTTCAGAACTATGGCACTGTCCTTCCTCTCCTCTAGGTCCTGACTCTGGCAGCCCAGGAGCTGTCTCGGCCAGGGCATCTTAAGAGGCATGCTCAGCAGGTGTCCTCTGGTTCTGGTGGTCTGTGCTTACCAGCCCAGGCTGCCTGTCAGCATGACCACACTGCAGGTTCTGGCTGGCGAGCTGTTGTGGAAGAGAGAATCAGAAGCAAGACCCGGAGGTTTTCCAAGGTCAGTTGGGAGCCTGGTCAGGTTATTGCAGGTGTGGGAACATAGGGTGGCAAATGAGCAGTCATATTCCTGCATATTCATATTCCTGTTTTTGGTACCAGGGATTGAACTCAAGACCTCATGCTTGCTAGGCAGGTGATTACGCCACTGAGCTATCTCCCCAGTCCCCTGGATCCTAATTTAGGATGGTGCTATTGTTCTTTAAGGAGAGGTTATGGTACAAAGTGAGGTTATAGTTAGACCAGTGTGGTTCAAAATGAGCATGGAAGGGAAAAGGTCCCAAAAATGGTAGATCAGAAACTGATGAGCTGGTAGGTAGCCAAGGGGGCTAAATTCTGTAGTTTTTGTTTTTTGAGACAAGGTTGTACGCTGTAGTTCAAGCCGGCCTTGAACTCTTTTTTGGCGGAACCAGGGATTGAACTCAGGCCCTTGCACGTGCCAGGGAAGTGCTTATTCCACTAATGGCCTTGAACTCATGATATAGCCCAGGCTGGCCTCAAACTCATGGCTGTCCTCCTGCCTCAGCCTCCTGAGTGCTTAAGTTACAAGCTTGCACCACCACACCCAGCAACCATGGTGGTCTTGGCCTAGCTTGGGATGTCAAGAGATATCTGGAGAATTATTTTAGTGGCTATGGGGCAGGGGAAATGGAGGCTAAGATGCTGCATCCTATAGCACCTAGGACAGCCTACCATGAGGACTATCCATCTTGAATGTTACATGAACAAGGCCTGGATCCCTGTTTCAGGCCCCAGTTTCCTGGCTGCAGCAACCTGATTCCCACTGCTCTCAGCTTGGACAGGGAGGGCAAAGTTGGGAAGCTAGCATAAGCCCTGGCCTGTGCAGCTTTGGGCTCAGGTGACCTGCAAAGCATGTGTGGGGCCGCAAACCTCTATAAGTGTGTGTGTGTGTGTGTGTGTGTGTGTGTGTGTGTGTATATTTAAAAAAAAAAAACAAAAAAACAACATATATATATATATGTTTGGCAGGGCTTTCCCCGGCGGGAGCTGGCAAATGGTCCCAATGAATTCAACTCTGTTGCTGGTTACTTCTTTTTCCCCCTCATTCAACACTTTGACAGGTAAATATTTTCTGTAGACCTTGACATAACATAACCTTCTGGGCAGGTGGAGTTGCAGGATGAGATCTCAGGTGGGACTGTGAGCAGGAATGTGTTTACAAAGCTTAAGTTAAATGACATGGAAATTTTTGAGTTTCTCTTTGTCATTGAGCTCTGTGGAAGGGCTTTAGTCTGTCTGCATTCATAGATTTTGGGTTTACAAAGAAGTTGGTGGTGCCATGAGTGGCAGTCAATGTTGTCACCTGTGTGTTCCCAGTGGTTCATCTCCTCCACTTGGGCAGACAGAGCTGGGCTCTCCTGCTGGCAGGCCATGGTGGAGAAAGGTCCATTTCTGACTTGGGGTCCAAAAGCCTTCTCTTCATGGCCCTCCTGGTGCATTTGGGGCCAGGGTGATGATTGCAGGAGGGCTTCCAGAGCCCTAGGTTCTCCCTTGGCAGCTCGAGAGGTTAGGCAGCCAGCCCTGAGGTAGTGGGGCTGCAGTATTTCCTTGATTGTGTTGTAGGCCTCTGGTGACCTTTGATCTTTTGGGAGATGACCAGTTGGTTCTTGGAAGACTGACTCACACCTTAGGGGCCTTGATGTACCTGGCTGTTAACACCACAGTGAGTTGGGATATGGGAGCTGAAGGCCCTGCTATGTTGTATTCACAGCACTGAAGTGTGGAAATTACCTAGTGTGTTAATACAATAGGGTTGAGCTTGCTGTGGTCTGCTCTGGGAGGGAAATGGCCAATATACACGAAGCACTGTTCACCTGGCACTCATCTGCACCTCACCTGGGTCCTGATGACAGGCTGGTGGGATGCCCCGTAGGACATCCCACATAACCCTTAGCTCAGATGAACCCAGGCCCTGACTACCAAGCTACAGAAGCCTACCTGTTGGGTGCCAGGTGTAGGGAACAAGCATGGTGGACATGTTGCTCACTTATGCCTCTGCTGATTTTTAGGTGGCTGTGTCCATGGGCAAGGCACTACTGGAATTTGTGTGGGCTCTTAGGTTCCATGTTGACATGTGAGTGGCCTGTGGGGCTGAGGGCAGGGTGGGATCTCCAGGGCATCTTGGCGTCATCTTTTCTAAACAGGAAGTGGGCCCAGTGGCCAGGGCATATAGGACTAAGTGTGCTTGTTGCTGGCTGGCCTGCTGGACTTGTACGGGTGGTAGGAGGTCTCCTTGACCCAGGGTATTGTCCCTGTGGCTCCAGCAATGCCAGTTTGCAGCTCCATTTCCAAAGCTGCACCTAATGTTCCCCATTTCTTGCTTGGTAGCTATGTGCGTAGGGGCCTGCTGTCTGCAGTATCATCCATCCTCCTCAGTGTACCTGCTGAGCGGCTGCTAGGGGACCTGTCCGAAGAGCTGCTGGAAGCCAGGTCCTGGCTGGCAGGTGAGTGTCATCTCAGGTTATGTGAGCAGGGGCAAGAGGTGGAGCAGCCTAGGTGTGGGCATGTGTGGAGCAGCCTAGGTGTGGGCCAACTCGTCTGAATGGGTGTGCCTCTCTGCTTGTGTTGAGAAGCATGGTGGCCTGTGTAGTGTGTGTGTGTGTGTGGGGGGGGGGGGTCACGGTCACTTTGAGGAATCCTGCAGAGGTCCCTTCAGATGAATCCCAAACCTAGAAAGATGGTATGGATAAAATGCCAGGAACCTCCACTCAGATTCACCAGTATAGTGTTTTGCCATGTCTTGTCCCTTTCCCCGAAATACAATTCTTTTAAAAGTCAGCTGAGGACACTGTGACTCTTCTCTCCAGGTTCCTGAGGTAGGCCTATGGGCAACCCACTCTTCACTCCTATGACTACACTGGGAACCCCATGGATACACTGGAGGCCCAGGGTCAGGGCAGCACTACCATTGGGCATAGATGATTATTCTAAAGGGATCTGGCTTAGACTGCAGTTTCAGTGTGATCTTGGGAAGTGATCACCCCAGTGGAGGTTCCTGGTGGCTCTCCAGGGTCCCAGGACTGAAACCATGAGAGGGCCCTTGAATGATAGTTCCATCCTCCAAGAGCCATAGGGCAGACTGTGACTTCATACCCCAAGGCCCCCTTCCATCTGGCCCTCCCCAGGCAGCTAACATAAGACTACTACATGCTCGGTGGGCCTTTGTAAAGTCCTTAGGGCTTTGCCTTTGTGACCATAGCCTGCAAAGGGGGCACTGGAGGGAGAGTTCTAAGCTCTTAGATATGCCTTGGTCCCTCTTTCTAGTGCTTATACTCCTCACATTGGTGTCCAGCAGACTTGTAGGCTGGTCAAGTGACCTGTCCATTGCTGGACTCCTCCCTCCTGATGGAGGCATCTACATCACCTGGCTAATCACAGGCCCATGGAGGGACACAGTAGGGAGCCCTTTGCTAGGTATGAGGGAAAGGCCTCATAGTGAAAGGAGAGGGGACACAGAACACCTGCAGCACTACTTTGCTTCTTATTCTTAATTTGGCAGATGTTGCTGAGAAGGATGTGGATCAGGACTGCAGGGAGCAAGCAGTGAGGGCTCTGCTGCTTCTGGAGAGACTCAAGGATAGGCTTCTTCCCATCTCTCCCTAGCCCTTGAGGTTTCCAACCATCTAAGGCCCAGCTGGACCACTGCCATCGGGAAGACAGAGGGCCCAAAGAGTGGAACTGGGGTAGCCTCTGGACGCTGCAGCATAGCCAGGTCTGGATGGTGATGGGGTACTCTGTGCACATGCAGAAAGGCCTGCACTCTATCCCTAGAGCTACTCATAGCCTGCAAGGCATCACGCTGCCTCCCACAGGACAAAGCAGCCAGAATGCTGGATTGGAGCTGGACTGGGGGTACCAGGCTGAGGAAAAATCTCCTCCCAAGGGTAGAACCAGTGGAAGCCCCAGAATGGAGAAGAGGCAGTTGTTCAGAGCAACTTATAGAGCTGCCAGACCGACTGAACAGGCTTGCCCTTCTTTTGGGCTTCTCATCACTGGGTCCCTAGGAGAATAAGTAGGGTAGCAGTGTTATGACACCCTCCTTTGTGTTTCTTACTGAGTGGGGATGTCAGCTTCTACTTGGACTCAGGTGCAGTGGGGAAGAAGGACACAGGTCTCAGAAAATAGGCTTTATAGGAGTTATAGGAGTGTCAGCAGCCAATGAGTGGGGCTTGGTGTCCCTGTTACCATTCTAGTGACCAAAGGGAAAAGCTGTCAGGGCTCAGGCTTGGCTATAGTGGTCCCTGAAAGAAACCTTCACGTAGCCTTGTATATACAATTAGCTGTAACAGGTGTTGCCAAGCTTCAGGTATAACCTCAGTTGTGAAGTTCTAGACTTTTCTTAGGTTCCATAGTCTATGTTGGGAAATGTGGAAAAGATGAATCCAAGTCCCCTCAAAAGAAATGAACTGGAAATCCATGGGAGCCACCCAGCTGCCAGAGGCAGGAGTACTGGAGGGATAGTTTAAAATACAGGGTAATCTTCCTTTTGGACATTGTGATGAGACAGAGCAGTGTTCTCTCCTGTTTCTCTAGTCCTGCTTACATGTGATAATATAAAAATGGAGGTTTTCCATTACAAAGGTGCCTCTGCTATTACTGGAGCCTGGAACATTCCAGAAGCAGCTTTCACAGCAGCAGCAGGACAGGCCAAATGGCCAGGGACTGAAGTCCCTTAGGGGTCATTGTCTACCTCTTCCAGCACCTCTTCCTGGTCCTCTATGCTGTTGTGGCGAGTCCGCTCAGGTAGCATGCGTGTAAGAGGGAGGCCCAATGCATGGTATATAGTGTCCATGGTCCGCTGATCCATGTAGTATGACATTTTGGCAGAAGGGAGTTTCTTCCGCATCTCTTCTAGGTACCGGTAGGCCTAGGGCAGAGATGACAGTGGTTACTTGGGTCTAACAGACATGGCAACCACATGGTACTCATGTTTAGTGCACATGAGAACCAATGGAGTCATCCTGTTTGTTCACTGTAATCAAGTTTCCTAAAATTGAAGTACCTAGCTCTCTACCTCAGTGCCAAGAAGTGGTAGGCCTTCCTGCTAAAGGGCTCACAGATTCAGTGTCTGAAGCTTCCTGGGATTTATAAGGGGACTGTTATCCCAGGATAGCATATTTCAAATTCTGAATGGTTAACCCTAAGCAGTTATCAATCTGAACAGCTAAAAACTTATCCCTTGAGAGTCCTTTGGCAGCCATTAAGAAAGGTCCTGGTTTGAGTCCTAGGGCCATGTTCCTTCTAGAACTTGCTCACCTTGGGCTTGCACAGCTACCCACTAAAGGAAAAGTGGGTTCTATGTTTTTATCTGGTCTGGGCATGTGAGTGTTAGAATGGAGGGCATGCAGTGGTAGTAATAGTTTGTTTTGGTTATTTTAATCTATCATCAAGTTTATGAATGGTCCTTGCTTGTAGGCCAGTAAACTATGGAATCAAATGGTTTTCCTGTGAGATTTCTTTGGGTTTGCCAGTGGGAATACATAGTAGGGCACAGGGGTGGTGTTCAGAGCTGCTCAAAGTGGGTCCAGAGTGGACTCCTACAGAGGAACATGCTCATACCCTGTTCATCCTCAAGGAGGATTATGCACAAATGCAGAGGGAGGAATGGGCCTTGTATAGCTCAGGTTACACAAGAATTTAGAATGTAAACAAAATTTCAAGCAGCTTTAAGGTTTTTTTAGGGCCAGAAATATAACTCAGTTGCACAGCACCTGCCTGGCACTCAGGAAGTTCTGAGTTTGATTTGCAATACCAAAAAACTAAAATTAAAAAAAAAATTAGGAATAATGATGAGACTTTTTTTTTTTTTTTTTTGGTACCAAGGATTGAATTTAGGACCTTGTACTGGCAAGGCAGGTGCTTGTGTCACTGAGCTATCTCCCTGGCCCTAGATCTTAGTATTTCTTAAGGATGGCAAAGCTCTTAGAACAACTCTGTTTCAGATAGGTTATCACTAAAGATGGCAGATATTTGAAAACATCAAGCCATTAAACTGTGTTCGGAGATTTTTGCCATGGATGGGAAGACAGCTAAGTGAGCCTGCACAAGTCTCACACTGTTCTGGAAGGATTCCCTGAACATTTTACAGGCTGCTAACACTGTGCTAGGTGCATGAGACACAAGTCAAAGGAGGTTAGGACAGTGTGAGCCAAGGGCAGCAGAAGCTGGGGAAGGCCTGGGGTCTTTCTGGAGGCAGAATTCAAAGAGTCAACACTGGGAAGGAGAGAAGAGTGAAGAGCTTACTGCGAGGTGAGAAAAACACATCTAATTGGAAAGGCCTATGCACACTTGGATATGCAGCTGGACCCAGCTTGTGTTTCCCCCTGATTGGGAAAATGCCAAATCAGATGAGAAATTATGAAAATTATGAAGTTTGAAGTGAAAAATTGGATGGGATTTTTTTTTTTTTTTGATGGGATTAACATCAGCATAAACCCTACAGAAGGAAAGAGTACAAATTTGAAGAAATAGTATATGAAACTACTCAACATGAAAAATAAAATAGTGGGGCTGGTGGGATGGCTCAGTGGTCTAAAGCACCTACTTAGAACTAGCTCAGCAAAGCACAGGGACCGCGGTTCGATCCCCCAGCACCACAAGCCAGCCAGCCCCACCCCCTGGTGGGCTGAGCTGGCCACACACACACACACACACACACACACACACACACACACACAAATAAAATAAAAATAGTGGGTGAAAAAGAAGACTGTGAATTGAACTAGGGGACACCAAATGTAAGGTAGCTGATTCTAGAAGGAGAGAAGAGAAGGAACAGAAGTAGACTTCTTCACAGAGTAGGAGAAAATATTTGTAAGTCAGGTATTTGGTAAAGGAAATGTATCTAGAATGTATTTTTTAAAAACACCAAAATGATTGAAAGGTTTGAGTATTTCACAAAAGAAGACATACAAATGGGTGATAAGCACATGAGAAGATGCTTAACATAAGTCACCAATGAAGTGTAAATTAAATCCACCATGAGATGGTGCATACCTATAATGCCAGCTACCTAGGAAGCTTAGGCTAGTTTGAGATTGGCATAGGCAACTTAGAAAATCCTGTCTTAAGTTAAAATAATGGAAGTGTAGCTCGGTGGGAGAGCATTTGCCCAGAATGCATGAGGCCCAGGATTCAATCCACAGAACCCAAAATACCACAGTGTGATACCACTACACCTCCACCAGGATGGCTAAGAAAAATGATCACATAAATACTGGCAACCATGATGAACATTTGTGCAAGTTGTGAGCTGAGCTGCTTTTATGTGGCCTTTTTTTTTTTTTAATGATTACAAGATAAACTAGTCACTTAGGCATGGGTGTGTGGTAGACACTCCTAACAAATCTGTAGCATCAAAGAAAACAGTTACTGATAGTCTTTGCTGACCCCAAGTGGGAGCCTTCAGGCACAGGGACTCGGGCCCCAGGACAGCAGTATTCTCACCATCTGGTACTCCTCCATCTGCACATAGCGCTCCACCAGAAAGCCATAGATGTCTCCGATGCGGATGGTGCTGTCCAGGTCTGTCTCCTCAAGGAGCAGCTCACATTGCCGGATGGACTCCTTGGGGTCCTCTATGTAGGCCCTGCAGGGAGAAAAGAGCAGGCCTGAGTCTGACCCCAAAACACATGCCAAAAGCACAGCCTCTAGGAAGTGGCTGAACATCTTTCATCAAGGTAATGTTTGTGAATTAAGTTAATTCATTTATCCAGTTAAGTTATTCATTTAACTGGCCACACACTGGCCACCTGTAGTGGCACTTTTTTTTTTTTTCTTTTTTAATTGGTACAGGGGGCTGGCCAAATAGCTCAGCAGATTAAAGTGCCTGCTTAGGCAGATGCAGCGGCTGGCGTTCCAGCCTGCAGTACTGGCCCTGACACCCAAGGCACGCTGAGATAGTGATTGAGACTGGGTGTGGTGGCACGCACCTGTAATCCCAGCGTTTAGGAGGCTGTAAACAGGAGGATCACTACGAGTCTGATCTACCTAGTGAGACCCTGTAGACCCTGTCCTAAATACAAGTAAAATAATAAAAGTAAAAACTGGTACAGGGTCTCACTATGCAGCTTGGACGCACAGTGATTCTCCTGTTTTCAGCCTCTACAGCACTGGGATTACAGGCATGTGCCTCTATGCCCAGTCTCATTGGCTGGCTCAGTGCACTTGGTGGCAGGGCCAGCACAGCCTGTGGTGCCGGGGATTGAAACTTGGTCCCTACACTTGCCTAAACAGGCACTTAGTTCGCTGAGCTATCTCTCTGGTCCTGCAGTGGCAGGTCTTATGCAGTGGCTGGTCTTATGAACACCAGTTCCTGCCCCAGGGAAGATTTGGGTCAGGAGCTATGTCTGAGGGGAGACTTGGACCTGAGCAGGCACGCAGGTGTCAGACAGGGTCGGCCCCCTCCCTGCCTGACAGAAAGCTCTGGGCCAAGAATCTCATGCAGGGGACTTGATGTGCCACCTTGCCCAAGGCAGCTGATAACCTTTATGTGCTGGCAGAGCACAGGCCAGCAGATATAAGGTGCAGTGTCTGTGGCTGAGCTCCTACTTACCAGGTCTTCAGGGCCCATCTAGCTATGCTGCCTCAGCTACTCCAGGGAGGAGCCTGGCCTGCCCTCTTATTCCCTGACAAGCTGTTCATCCTGACCCTCAATATCTACTTTTCACCCACTGGGCTGCTTCCTACAGCTCAGGTTGGGCAGACATCTGCTAGATGCAGACTGTAGAGCCTATGTGGCCAGGTTCCCCAAAGAGCCTGCTTGGGGTGGGGCACAGTGATGCACATTTGTAATACTGGAACTCTGGGAGGCTGATGCAGGAAGACCTCAAGTTCAAATCTAGCTTGGGCAATTTAATGCCTTAATGAGATACTGTCTCTAAATTTAAGAAACGGGGAAAAAAATTGGCTGGGCACACAGTTCAGTATGAACTAAATTTAATCCCAAGTATTGTTTAAAAAAAAAAAAAAAGGCCAACTATGATGGTGCATGCCTGTAAGTCTTGCATTCTAGGAGGCTGTGGCAGGACAATTACAAGTTCAAGCCTAGCCCAGAGAACTTAGACCCTGTCTGTAAGGGAAGAAACAAAAGATGAGTTGAGGATGTATGAAGGATGCTATGAAGTCCGAGTTTCATTTCCAGAATCCACCCTTCCCACACACAAAAGTTCACACTGTACAACATCTGTTTAATGTGTTTTGGAACTCTTTTTTTAATTTTTTAAAAAATTTATTTATTTATTTATTTTGGTGGAACTGGGGATTGAACTCAGGCCCTTGCATTTGCCAGGGAAGCGCTTATTCTACTGAGCCATCTCCCTGGCCCCATGGAACTCTTTTTTTAAAGATGGTTTTGCATTGAGGTGCAGGCTGGCCTTGAACTCAAAGTGATCCTCTAGCCTCAGCCTCTTTAAGTGCTAGGACAACAGGTGTGCACCGACATGCCCAGCAGTTTTAGAACTCTTTCAGAAAGCTATAGAAAAATACTCATGTTGGTTTGGGCAGAAGCTGAGCTCAGGTGGCCCACAGATGCACAGATGTTTGTTCATATGCTGGTGACCACATGCTGGGCTGTTTGAAAAGTTTAATTACCAGTGAGTAAAAAATGAGTATCAAGAGGTGGGCATGGTGGTATACTCCTTTTATCCCAGCATTTGGGACGCTGA